TAAAGACACTGATACATTCTTCCTTTATGTGACACTGTCTTTCTTTGAAATGTAACTTGCCAAACATTCTTAGGCAGAAATGAGTATAAATGCTATAATTCTAGCAAAATGCTGATCTGACAGGTATGTAATTTATGGGAATCTGCAGTAGTATCATTATCATTTGCTATTAAATGTTAGCTTTTTTTTTGCAACATTTAGCTCTGAATACTGAAACAGAAGAAAATTGCAGATCCTGAAAATCTGGATTAAAACAGAAAATACTGGAAAATGGTTCCTATTTGGGCAAGAAACCAAAATAATGTTTCATGTTGCTAACCTTTTCATGTGAATACTGCATTTGATGAAGGTAAACATTGCTGAGCTATGTTGCATTGCAAAAGCAAGACTATCAAAGTAACTGATATTAGTTTCTTTAGAGGATATTATGCTTTAACAATAGATTGGTCCATAACTTTATATTCATGAAGTGACTTTAATACTTTTAGAGCAGTGTTTTTTTTACACAAAAAACTATCGAAATATCAAAGACTTCCCAACCATTAAAATATAATGTGGAATTTTGTGTACCTTTACAAATTTTGATCTTTTTCAATATTGATTATAAGGAGATCTTTAGTTTTCAGGTGTGTATACATTAAAAATACTGCCATGAAGATTGTTGAAGTTACTGCCATACTAAAAACTGGGCACGAGAAGAATTGGTAGCCTTGGGCACTGATTCCAGACATGTATGGTCTGTTGACTCTGGTATGTGGAACATTCTATAGAGTTTGCTTCAGTGAATGTACTTGTTTGTTGAATTACTTGTCTTGGGTTGAGCCTCAGGCTACAAGTTCCCTTCTTTTTCCCCCTTTCCTCTTTTTCCTCGCCCAGCCCAACCCCTTGCAAAAATATCTGAATAAATTTGCAAAAATACTTGGATTAAGGATATTAATCAAAGCATTTGATTTTGTACTGTATGAAAGCTTTTAATTGGTGTGCAAGGGAGTTATGTATCTTAGTTAAGGCATTGTCCAGTACAATTTACAGACCTAAAGCATGACTAGATGAATGGTTGTATTTTGGGAAGATTCTAATTGCAAGCAAGAGGCTTGATCAAAGGATGAATCCTTGCTGAAATTCTTTATTCTAGAGTCTGTCCTCTATTATACATGGAGTTCTTGATTTGTGATTTGGGTTTATTTTCTATGGGCATGCATGTCTCAAATAACTCTGTGGAAGCAGTGGTAGTGTCCATACCCTTGGAAGGAGAGGCCCAGGTTCAAGTCCCACCTGCTCCAGAGGTGTGTAATAACATCTGTGAACAGATTGATTAGAAAATAAATCAGATTAGTGGTACTGATATTTATTTTCAAAGTATAGGTAACAGTTACTGAATTCTTTCATCTATTTAATTACTACCTCAACTCCGTAACAGATTACAATGGTTCCACAATTTGCTGTCAAGACTTCTCTGTTCAGTCATTGTGAAATGTACTTCGTTATATTTTCAGGAAGGGAATGCTAACTGAAAGTCAGTACACTGAGTGAGACCATCTGATTCATGTCTTTGACATTGATCTCTTGATTTTTTTTTTTCTGTTTCGTGCCAATTTGTTTAACTAGTTTCTTAATTCCACGTGCTAGGAGCTGGATCTGGAAGTAGCAGTTGTCTTCTGCAGCTCACTGAAGTACTTATTTATTTGTGGTCCTTAACTTTATTTATCATTAGACCAACCACAGCGTGCTTTGCAGCCACGTTGAATCAATTGTTTTCTGATTATCTCATTTGTGCTTTTAAAACAATCATGGTATTCAGGACAGGAATCCTGTATTGCTTATATTCATTTTCCTACCTTACATTTACAAAGCCAGAAGCACTGTAGTGAATAAAGCAAACAAGTTAAGAACTTGAGTCTCAAGCACAGTTATTTGCTGGATAAAGTGTTAAAATATCAAACAATTCTGTAAAATGATTCATCAAAGATAACATTGATTATGTAGCATACACAAGAGTATGTTTGTAGCAAACAATGCTGGAGAAACTTCAGAACTCGAAAGAAGAGCCATACCAGACTATATGTTAATTCTGTTTCTCTGTCCATGGATATTACCAGGCATGTCAAGTTTCTCCAGCATTCTGAGATAGCAAGAACTGCAGATGCTGGAGTCAGAGTCAGTACAGTGTAGAGCTGGAGGAACACAGCAGGTCAGGCAGCATCAGAGGAGCAGGAGAGTCGACGTTTCGGGTGGGACCTTTCGCCAGGACTGATGAAGGTCCTGACCCAAAACCTTGACTATCCTGCTCCTCTGCTGCCTGACCTTCTCCAGCAATCTGTTTGTTTCAGATTTGCAGCATCCATAGTATTTTGCTTTTATTAGTGTGCTTCTTTGAGACCTGGGCCAAAATTGGGTAACTTAGCTTATGCTAGTAAAGGAAGTATCCAGGAAAAAACTATGGAAAAATAAATCCTTTGTAATCTGCTACTTAATTAGGTTTACAGCCCAGGGTAAAGGTCTGTCACCTGTGAAACCTGGATTTAAATCTTTTCTAGACAATAAGAGGTATCTTTTTTCCTCCATTTGAGAGTCAGGGCTTGTGGATGGAGGAAGGGAGATTTCATAACATTTCCTGCTGAATAGGAACTCCAAATAATCATCTGCCTGTATTCATTACTAGTTGGTTTACTCTGCTGCATGCGAACACCTTAATGGTTTATCACTTATGAAGGAAAGTACAATTTAGCCAGCATATTACATACAGTATGTTACTGTAGGTTACTGTACATTTAGTGGTGTTTCTTCCTAAAGAAGCCAGAAACCCAGCAATACTTAAATCCCGTGAACAATGAAATACAAACCCAGTAGGTGCAATAGGTAACTTGGCTACGTGAATGTTGTGCCTTTGTACTGTCAGATATTGGAATCGCCATGGGACGATGGCACATTAGATGGATTTTTGAGGGACTCCAAGATTTTGACCCAGCGACTGTGAAGGAGTGGGAGTTTAGCTCCAATGAACAATTGCTTTGATTTTGGAAGGCTGAAGGGCTGTTTTGCTTGTACTGTCTTTTAAAATATTGATGTACAAGAAGTAAAAGTTTTGTTTGAAACTTTGACCTTATTTGGCAGAAATGTCTGCCAAGGGAGAATCATTCTTGCTGGTATTTCATTGTTTGTCACTTCAAAGAAGAATGTGAATTGCTTGATAGTTAATTAGACAGGAGAAAAACTAGTGGCATGAGAATTATTGTTTTACTTCACAATCTGTAAATGCATTCCTGGTGTCACTGAACTAATGTAATTTATTTTTTCTAAATATACTATTGTGTCTTGCGTGAGGGTATGGATAGATTACAGTCCCACTCCAAGTTCAATGCAAAAATGACACTTCAGTGTGCAGTACGAAGAGAATATTGATTGGTGCTGTCTTTCAGATGAAACATTAAGCCTGTGGCATGACACTATTTCATATAAGAGCATGGGAGTTATCCTTTGTGTGCTGACATTTATATCAATATTTATCACTCAGTCCACATCAATAAAACCATGTCATGCCATAGTTGCACTTGTGTGAGCTTGTGCAAATGGCAGCCATTTTTTCTATAAAAGAATGGCAACTACACTTGCAGGAAGTACTGCATTTGCTCCAGAGTGGTGGGAGATTTCTGATCCTGAAAAATGTGATCTAAATGTGTCTTCTCCCCGAGGTCAATGTCTTATAACAGAAAGTAGGACTGTTTGAGCATTTAAATAGAATTTGGGCGAGCATATAGAAATTATGTAATTTTGTATGTGAATTTGCTGATGTTAAGTAACAAGTTTGATTATGAATAAAATGTTTAGTACTATAAAATGTGCTTGTTTCATAGTTGATGCGTTCAGACATGTATGTGAATGAAAAGCATGCCATCCCTAATGAGGTACCATGCACTTTTTAAAGGATGTTTCCAGTTGAAAAGTGGTTCAGTTTTGAGTTAATTTCTAAAGTAAGTTGTTAGCAAAACTTACCTGATACTATCAGCATTGAGAAACAATCAACAACCAGTTGAATCTGTTATCTGACTTCTGTTGGAATGTAGTGCAAGTACAAACATGCTCATTATTTATAGTCCCTGAAAAGTAGCAATATACCAGCATGTTGCAGTGCTTGCGTGTTTTGTGACCGCTGCATTCCTGTGAAAGTATTTGCCTAAAGGCAATATTATGCAGTATGTCCAGCCACGACTGGAGGCTGGTAGTAAACACATCTTCTGCTAAAGTGTTTGGCTGTGTTTACACTCGAACAGCATGGCAGTCTGCGTTGCCTGTTTTGCAAGGAGCAAGTGGACATGTTATTTTCATGTTAAATTGCAGAGTTTTAACCCAAAGATTAGAAGACTTGAGTACTGGTTCCAGGCTAAATATGGATAACACAGTTACAGTTAAACTTATTAAGGATCGATTATGGCGTGGTCCAGACTTTTCAAGAAATAGCTTATACTGGTGGTTTTCTTTTAACTATTTCACATCTGCTATTTTCTTGCTATAGGACAAGATTTAGCCACTTGAACTATTTGTAGAATAACACTGGCTTTCATGTCTCAAAGTGGATATGCACTTCGGATCTTAATGTGAATTTCAATTTTGAAGATGGTAATTATGATCTCTAGATGGTGCCCAATGTATAGGATTGATTTATAATTCCAAGGATTGCAAGAATTGTAAAACTAGACAGATTCACATTTGAAGTGTGAACTTCCATAAGTATGTAATAATTGTAAAAGTAAATATTTTGAAAGTGATATCTCTATACTGTTTTAGTTGAATGCAATTGAGCCTGTAGCTATTGGCAAATCTAATTCCATACAGTGCTCAGACACTTTGGTTACTGAAATTAAATCGTATTTTGTTAACTTATGAATTGCAAAGTTTGGAATTCATCTTTCTGAGAAGTTTAATAGAACTTTATTGTATCTGGATGTGCCTTTGTTTCCTGCAAAACTGATAAGCTTTTCCTTTTTTTCTTCCCAATAAAGACTTCACTGAAAGTATTCATGCTCCTTCCATTATCAAGACAGAATTGAAAGTTACTGATGCTACTGAACTCAACAATCACAGGCCACACATAAACAACATTACGGTGTCCAAAAAACGAAACTGGCTGCAACAGTGCACTGTCAACCCTCACTCAAGTGAAGAAACTAATCCTTCTGTAACAGTAGAGCTAACAAATCATGCAAGTAGTCCAAGTCCCTTACATGAAAGCAAGCAGCAGCCTGCAATTCTGCCAAGAGAACATATCCGACAAAATGATCCAAAGCATGTTGAAGAGAACACTCTGAATCATAATGAAGAAAATGATGCAGATGATGAAGGGGAAATATGGTACAATCCTATTCCAGAAGATGAAGAAGTTGATCTATCACATATGAAACTTCCAGTTGCCCTTAAGATTTCTGTGGCTAAAATTGATAACCCAATCAGTAGCTTGCAGATGAAGCAATGTTTATTACCTGCTGGTGATTTGATTCAGGGACCAATTATCTTGGGGACCTCTGAAAATTGTTCTGAAAATGTGCAGGAATACCAGGTAGTTCCAGTGAATGATGTGAATCAGAGAAATTCTGTGAATTCTACAAATTCCACAAACAGTGGGCAGCTGCATAGGCAGATATGTGTGTGCAAGTTTAAGAGTGGGGTGAATATGGAGGAGATCTGTGTCCACAGGCCTTCAGCTTCAGGTAAGCTGTTTGTATTGTGTCACAGGAATTGTATAGTCCAGTGAAGTTCACTTTTTTGAAGTATTTTCTGTAAATTATTCTTAAGTTCACTAAATTTTAATTAGAATTGCTCTTTGTAAGTTTAAAGTTTGTTTTAGGCATTGTAAGCATCAAGTTTGCGCTTGGGCAGATGGGTGAAGCATATGTCTCTTTAAATTGTCCTTTTTTTTGATCCTTGCACCTTTGTGTGCAAATCTGCTTTGCTTCTTGATGAAATGTTAGCACTGCCTTGGTAACGGTGACTATTATTTGCTAATTTTTCAATAACCTGTTTTATGTTAGAGGTATATTGAACTCCCATTGTTATTGATCATGAAACGTTGTTAAACTGCGCACTACGAATGTATATTGCTGCAATGTAGGAACAAAATGATGAACCACAAACATTTAAGCAAGTTTCTTGCAGCAACGTTTCAACCTGATTAGACTACTTTAAGCACGAGTACTTGGCAGTGCACTTCAGGCTATTAGGTTTTGGAGTGGGTGATGTGCTGATCTGCTGGCATGGTACTGGGTTAAAAGAATTAAATTGAGGACAGTTGCATCAACTAGTTTCAGTTTGAGTAAAGATTTAAGAGGTGATCTAATGGATTTGTTTTAAGGTGATTAAAGGATTTGATTGGGTGGGTAGATAGATGGAGAGAAACTTTCCTCTTGTGGAAGTCCAGGACAAAGACGTAGAATCTTAATTAGAACCAGGCCATTCGGGGGTAATGTTGAGCCGCTTTTGGCACTCCTCCCTAACAGTATTGAGGCTAGGTTATTGAAAAACTTTTTTTTTAAAAACTCACCTCTCAAATGATTAATCAACTTATGGAACTGAGATGGTTAAATTGAATTAACACAGAATTAATCTGACAGGCATAATGGCCTTTCTTTCAAAATAGTAGTCACAAATGAGTAGTTGTTTAACATAATTCTTTTTAAAATTTCAATCCTCCATTATCATCCTAATAATCTCTAGTTCAATTACCAAGTCCATATATGTTATTTTCAGACAAGTTGTCAATGTGTTAGCAGATTATCCTTTCCTTTTAAAATTTGTAATTATGTGCAATGAATTATTGGCCAGGCTTAAGTATAATAGATTTGACAGTCTCAAATTCATTTCTCATTCACAATTTTAACTACTTTTTGACATTTGATTATTTCATATGGTGATATCGCAGACTGATTGCTAGTAGAAATGTTATAATGTACTTGCTACTTGTGTATCAGGATCATGTCTTCGGGGCTGGTTAGAGGACCCTGACGCTATTCAAGATAGTTTGCCGATACTGTCCAGAATTAGTTTTCTAATCTTTAGTACTCGCAGAAATAAAAATCAAAAACTGCTTATTTGCTGGGAACATAGACGTGAAGTATTGATCAGCAAATATCTAATTGAACGGTGATACAAGCTAGTGAAGGTGTATGGTCAATCCTACTTGGATTTTTAAAATGGTTTTATACTCTGTCTACCATACTTATAAATCTATTAAAATTGGAATAGGAGCACAAGAACAGGAGTAGACCATTCAGTCCTGCAAGGCTGTTCTACCATTCAATGAGATCAAGACTGATCTGTGGCTTAACTATATATACCATCCTTTGGTCTATATCCCTTAATACCGTTTGCTTAACAAAAATCTTTCTCTGATTTAAACATGCATCCACTATCGTTTGTGGAAGAGTTTTACCACCCTTTGTAAAGAAGTGCTTCCTAACATCATCTCTGAACAATCTGGCAATCATTTTCAGACTATGGCCCTAGTTCTAGAATCCCTAACCAGTGGAAATAGTTTATCTTTATCCACCCTGTCTTTTTCTGTCAATACCTTTTTAAAGACTTTGATCAGATCACCCCATAACCTTCTAACTTCTAGAGAAGACAGGCCTAATTTGTGTAATCTATCCTGAACTTAACCCCTGAAGTCCAGGTATCATTCTTGTACATTGTGCTCACTCCCAGGTCATTATATCCTTCTTAAGGTGTGGTGCCCAGATCTCTCAGTGCTCCAAATGGAGTTTACCCAGGATTTTGTATAACTGCAGTATAACTTCTGCATTCTTGTACTTAGCCCTCTAGATATAAAAGCCATTCCATTAGCCACCTTGATTATTTTCTGCACCTGTTTGTGACATTTTAAAGATCTATGCACCTGAATCTCAAGTCTCTTTCAATGTCCACTGTATTTAACTTCATACCATCTAGAAAGTGCCCTTATTTATCCTTTTTTGGGACCAAAATGGATAACCTTAAACTTGTTAACATTGAACTCCATCTGCCACAGCTTTGCTCATTCACTTGTCTGTTTGCTTCTCGGATCTGTTGTTTGATTCTTCCTCCACTGCACTGTGGCACTAAGTTCCACAGATTCACAACTCTCTGAGAAGCAGGCTCAACTGTGATGAGGAGAAACTATCCCCTCTCACCCTCTATTTATGTCACACAAAGGGAAGCATCTGTTCAACATCCACCTTATCAATCCCCTTTAGCATTTTATATACCTCAATCAGATCAATTACATCCATCCCATTCTTCTGAACTCCAGCGAGTACATGCCCTAAGTGCCCTTTCATTCCTGGAACCAACCTGGTGAACCTCCTCTGATCTGCCTCCTGGACACAGTACTCCAGGTGTGGTCTCACCAATGCCTTATATAATTGTAATAACACTTCTTTTACTTTTATAATTCAGTCCTTTTGCAATAGATGCCAAGATTTCATTTGCCTGCACACTCACTTTCTGTGATGCATATACAAGGACACACCTGTTTCTTTGCACTTATGCACTTTGAATCTGCTTCCTATTTAAACAATAATTTTCCCTTTTTTATTTTTCTGGCTAAAATGGATGATCTCGCACTTATCCACATTAAACTCCATCTGCCAGATTCTGGCCCATTTTCCTAGCCAATCAATATCCATCTGTAAACTCATTAACTCCTCATTGCAACCTGCTTTCCCACCTAGTTTAATATCCTCCACAAATTTTGCTATGCTACATTCTGTTCCTGCTTGCTGATCATTTATATGAATTGTGAATAGTTGAGGTCTGGGAACTGAATCTTGCAGCACCCCACTGGTTACAGTTCACCACTCAGAAGGATCCATTTATCCCAACCCTCGGCTTTCTGCCAATCCTCTATCCAAGCCAATACCCTTAACCCCCGGGATCTAAATTTCTGGATCAGTCTTTTATGCAGCATGTTGTCAAATGCACACATGTAAGAAGGACAAATGTCTCAAATTTGTGCTATGATTTACTTATGTTTACGTTGAATGCTTGTACAGATTCAAAAAAAATTAATAATCTCTACATTGTCAGGTAATTTAAGCCCCAAGTGTTGCAATTTAAATCAAGGCATAAATAATCTTTAGCATTATATCCATACCGAACTTTGGTATGGATATAATGCTAAAGATAATTTTTGCCTTTGGTATTAGAGATTTGTTAATATTATTCTTTGGCTTTTAAATTTCCATAGATGGTAAAGCTGTTTTGTGCTATTAACACTTTCTGAATTAACATTAGAGATTTTAACTGCTGTTAAAGACAACTCCATGTAAGGGTCCTTGAATGCGGACAGTTCTAATTACTGCCCCCCAGCACTACAAGTTACAGCACTAATTTCGAGTACTCGTTTGCACCATTATTGAAAATATTGTATACTTCACTGATAGAGTTAATAGCTTCTCCAATTTCTTGCTGTGGATACAGTTGCGGTATTCAGGATGATAGGATGTAATCTGGTACTTTTCCATCTGCTTGAGTCTGACTGCAGGAATCATTATAGCACATTTGAGACATTTGTCCTTGCTCCGTTTCACTGTGGCTGGATTTTATACCAGTAAGCTATATATGTATAAATTACACACAAACCTATTTGAATGAAGTCTAATATGTATGTGAAAACTAACGACCGTAAAACATGGATAGCCAGTCACTGTTCTAAATATTTCTCTGGTTTTCTTTAAATAGCAGTTTATCTGTTTTTAAAAATACCAGGGTATATTTGTATCTTCTCTGAATTGCGTCCCTTTGTGATTAATTTCACTTACAGACTATCTTTACCAATTTTGTGGAGCTTTTCAGTATCTTATAGTGAATGTGAAGCATGAAGTCAATATAATGGAAGTACAATATTTATACACTGTCCTTGCTGCCATTCTGAAAAGTTTGAACTTTTCTCCTACTGGCTGTCTTTTAATTAAAATATATTTAATCGAGTGACATGCAAACTCATTAGTATTAATGCAGCGCTAATTTGTTTTGCCCGCAGACGTACGTTAGTTTTAATTTGACAGATGGGTTGGAGTGTTTGTTGTCAAGAGTGCACTGAAATCAGATAACAGGATGTAGCTTTAAAAGCAGCCATGCTGAGCACTTGACAGTCATGTGGAAATGATTTTGAATAGCAGTCAAACAGGAAACTAGACATTTTTAAAATTCCATCCAGCCTCCCTTGTTGAAATCAAGATTATAAGACATTAACCAGTTGGGATCTTGAAGCCTTAAACTTGCACGTATTCCAGGACTAGAAGGGCACATGTTGCTTTACCTTGCACACTCCAATAGCATGGGACACTGAAGTCCAATTAACTTATTACTGACAGTTCAACTGCATCATTACTGCTAACTGCTGATAACCTGTTCAGTGAATCTGGCCTGAATATTTGTTTTTTTAAAAATTATTCCACCGTGGGATGTGGACATTGCTGGCTGGCCTGCATTTATGGCCTGTTCGTAGTTGCCCTTGAGAAGGTGGTGGTGAGCTGCCTTCTTGAACTGCTGCAGTCCACCTACAGTGGGTTGACCCACAATGCCATTAGGAAGGGAATGTCAGGATTTCAACCCAGTGACACTGAAGGAGCAGTGATTATATTTCCAAGTCAGGATGGTGAGTGGCTTGGAGGGGAACTTGAAGGTGGTGGTGTTAGCATGTATCTGCTGCCGCTGTCTTTCAAGATGGTGTATT